GCCAGGCAGTGGCAGGTGGTCCAGGTCCCAGTCCTAACCCTCCCCTGGGCACACCCCCCTCAGCAAATCAGCATGCTCAGTATTGCCACCTGCATCTGGCTGGGCCGTGTGCGCGCACACACACGTGTGCACAAACACATGAGTGCATGTACGTGTGTCAGCACGAGTGTGCACGCGGGTGTGTGAATGTGTGCCGTGTGTGCACATATGTGTGACCACGCATGCACATGTGTGTTGCATGTGCAAGTGCATGACTCCATGAGGCAGGGTGCTTCTCTGCTTCACCCCTGTCCTGGCTTTGAGAACCACAGTCCTGGCATATTCTGACAACTGTCTTTGAAGGACAAACACACGACCACTGGGTGCCAGCGGGGTCCAGGTGCTGTGGTGGGAGCTGCTGCCCATGTGTGGGGTCAAGGCCGGCCCAGGACTCCAGCAGTCATGGTGGGCGTGGCCGGGAGGGCCTGTGTACTCCTCGGGGGTGGCAGTGGCGTGACCCCGGGGAGGGGTGGGCTTGTTGGGGTTTTGGGACTGGGGTGGCCTCGGGTGAACCGATGCTGTTCTTGAGGGGCTTCCATGGATCCATGTTCCCCCCCATCCTGCTGGACCAGACGCCCAGTCACCAGCCAGCGGCTCTTCGGACACTCACTTCTTCCCCTCCTGGGCCTGCCGCTGCACCTCCTGCAGCCCGTCGACGGCCTGGTGAAAATCAAACACTGCGGGCAGGCGAGGGTGCAGGGGAGACAGACGGGGTCAGGGCCTCGCCGTGCGCGCCCGGCCTCCCAGAGGGCTGGTCCAGTTTGAAAGGGGACACGCTGGCATCGGCATCCACTCGGCACCCACTCACTGTGACCCCGAATCCCCCTGGGCCTGTTTCCCCATCTGCCATGGGGACCGGGATCCCCACCTAGCACCCACCCAGAAGCTCTCTGAGACGGGCTCGTGGAGCCGTGTGGGCTGGGTGGCCGTGGAGGGGGCCATGGTGGGGTCAGCTGCTCAGGGGCCGGGGGTAGGGGCAAGCCCCATGCCAGGCCCCGGGGGAGAAACTCACCGAGGTGAGCTCGGTCAGAGATGACGAGCCTCTTCTCCCAGTCTTTCAGACCTGTGGGGACATGGCACACGTGGTCAGTGTTCACAGGGGGAGGGCCAGCCAGCTGGCCCAGATCCTACCAGGCAAGAGGCCACAATAGTCACCTCTGGTGCGTGGCAAGCGAGGGGCCCACCCCTGGTGGCTTCTCCCTCGGCTGGGTGTCCAGGACCCTCACTCCCAGGAGACGCCCACCCACATCCCTGTGGGCTGGCCCATCTCCCTGTGGGGCCTCCGTCCTGGCACCTCCTGGGGCCTATGTCCCAGGGAGGGTCAGGTTCCCACTCTTTCTGTTCATGCCTGCCCTGAACTTGAGCCTGAGGCCAAGGCTCTGCTTCCTCCATGGACCCTATCGGGGTCTCAGGGTTTCTGTGTCATCGGCCCGCCTCTAGACAACCTTTACAGGGTCTGACTGGCCCAGACACCCTGGCCGGTGGCCCCGGTCACTGCCTCCTGCTCCCAAGGAGCGCCCAGTAACCACATCCTTTCCTGTAGGCATAGTCAGCCCCACGGTCCCCAATCCTAGCTGGACATCAGCGTTCCCTGAGGAGCTTTGTCAAATTCCAGGTCTTGGGGCCCCTTCCTGGACTTCCTGAATCCACATTTCCAGGTGCCACCTGTCCCTAGTGTCACGAAAGCTCCCCTGAGATGCCAAGGCCACGACCCGCAGCCAGAATTTGGGGCCGCGGGGCTGCCCCACTCTCTGCTTTCTGAGCGGTAACCTGGCTTTCTGCACAGGCAGAGCCAGCAGGTGGCGGGCAGGGGCGCAGCCGTGGAAGCCGCCCCCGTGTCTGCCCGCCCGCCTGCCCTCGAGAGAAACCATGCAGCGAGGCGCCAGCCAGCACCGCCGCTAGGAACACTCACCTGCCCAGGGCAGGGCGAGTCTGCAGGGACTCAGACCTACCTTTCTTCTCATTCTTCTCTGCCTCTTCAAACAAGCCTGGTAAGTGGACGACCACCCCGTTCCCTGCAACACATAGACACGAGACCGCATCGTATCGCAGACACTGGGGACATACATTCAAAACAGCATGAAAGTTGCACCCCCGTGTTCATAGCAGGGTTATTCACAAGAGCTAAGACGTGGAAGCAACCCAAGGTCCATCGAGGGACGCACGGATAAAGAAAATGTGGTCTATCCACATGATGGAGTATTATTCCACCTCAATAAGGAAGGAAATCCTGACACGCGCTAAGGACATCATGCGGAGTGAAATAAGGCAGTCACAGGAGGATAAATCCCGTATGATTCCACTCATGGATCCCTGGAGTCGTCAGAGTCATAGAGACAGAGAGCAGAATGGTGGGTGCCAGGGGCTGGGGGAGGGGACAGGGAGTCAGTGTTTAACGGGGACAGAGTTTCAGGTTGAGAAGATGAAAAGTGCTGGAGATGGACGCTGGGGATGGCAGCACATGTGAATGTACTTAATGCCACTGAAGTGGACACTTAAAAATGGCTAGGATGATAAATTTATGTATTTCGTCGCATAACAGAAATGACCCAAACAAAACAAAAGCCAGCATGAAGCATTTACAGAGTCGGAGAGCAGCCTGGCGGTGGCTGGGGCTGGGCGGGAGGGGATCACCAGCACATGGGCACGAGGGCAGTTCTCGGGGTGATGACAAAGTTCTAGAACGGAATTGTGACAGCTGCACAACCGTGGGTACGTTTCAGGGCACAGAGATTAAACCTTGATAAAACTGTGACATTTTATTTAAAAGGAATGAAAATGGGAAAGCAGGAGGCATGGAGAAATGCAGCCCAGGACCCAGCTGGCCTCCAGGGAGCCGGGCGTCCCCTACACATAAAGCAGACGCAGGGTCTGTGCGGATGTTCTGCACGGCAGAGACTCGCCTGCGGTCACATAGCACCATAGCGCGCGGTCCAGCTTAGAGCCGGGCGCTGGCCCTTTCCTCTAAGACCAAAAGCAGCTGGGCCAGGCTGCCTGCTGCCTGCCTGGGGCGAACTCTGCTCCTGTGCATCCTGGCCAGGGTTGGTGGTGTCACAGGCTCGGCCGAGGGAGACTGGACATCAGTCCAGTTGGGAGTGACTCAGAGACTATGCAAGCCACACTGAGCACAAAAGGTCACCTAAATGCCATGGCGTCCTGAAATGCCATGTGGCAGGGACCCGGGGAGTGCCCCAGGCTGAGGGAGCTGCGTGCGCTTGGGCACGTCCTGCTCTTGCTAAGCCAGCCCCTCAGGGTGCTGTCTGTCGCACGGACGGCTGAGCCGACCCTCTGCTGATGCTCCCTGGGGACCACCCAGCGGGGGCTCCAGCCACCAGCCCTGACCCATCCCCAGCTCCTTGGAGGCTGGGCAGAGTGCCCTCCTGGGCCAGCGGTGCCTCCCTGGCCTCATTTCCTGCCAAGTGGGCCCAGGGCCCAGCCGATGGGGCTGATGCTGGAGAAGCCTTCCTGGGCTCCAGGCCGGGGGTGCAGGCTAGGGCCCCTCACATGAACCAGGGTCGTCGTGCACTGTCCTCAGCCACTGCCGGGCCGAGTCTGCACCCCGTGGAGAAGGCCCTGGGCGGCCCTCCTCCTGCTCAGCCTGACTGCACGCAGCCCGCAGCCCTCGCCGACATTGTCCTTCCTGTGCTCCCAGGGAGTGGGCCGGACACTGTGTATCGCTGGGCGCACCCCAGCAGCTGCAGCCCCTGCGTCCCGACCTGGGAGGGGTGGGCATAGATACGTCTCAGGGAGGTCTTGCTAAGTTGTGGAAAGAGCTGGAAGGAGAAGTACTGGAAGCTTTGAGAGGGCAACCCTGGGCCTGGCCTGGCCTAGGGGACCAGGAAAGGCTCCTGAGCAAGGAGGCCATGAGCTGAGGCCAGGACAATCATTCGGGCCTTGTGACTGAGAGAGAGAGAGACAGAAAGAGAGAGAGACAAAGAGACAGAGAGAGAGAGAGAGAGAGCGAGAGAGCGAGAGAGCGAGAGAGAGAGAGAGAGAGAGAGAGAGAGAGAGAGAGAGAGAGAGGGTGGCTGCCGTGAGGGCAATGGGGAAGGGCTGGGAGCAGGGAGTGAGGTGGCCCCTCTGCAGAGTGGGCCTGGCCTGGCTGAGGGAGGCCTGTGGGAAGCCGGCCCTGGGAGCGGCCAGGAAGCGCTCAGCTCCCCCACCCAGGCTCGGCCTCCATCCACGCAGCAGGAAGCCGGGCCTGTCGCCTGCACACACACACACAGACATGCACACTTGCTCACACGTGCACAGGCATGCTCACTCACAGGCATGCACACGCACACAATCAGTCCCCTAAGCACACACATTTACACACAAGCACACTCACACAATGCCTGCATACACACATGCATAGAAACTTAAACACACGCACACTCACCCACTCATGCAACGCACTCATGTGCTCACACTTGTGCACACACACACGTGTGTACACAGCCCCCTACACACCACACTCACTCACGCACGTGCACACAGGCACGTGCACACACTTGAGGTCTGAGAGTTCAGGGGAGGCTCCTGCGTCCTCTCTCCCTTTTGCCCAGGCTGGGCAGGCATCCTGGGCTCTGGGCTCTGAGGAGAGGCCCCCAGATCAGATGCCTCTGCGAGGGCTCCCACATAGGAGCTGAGACCTCAAATCCCTCCCCACCCCCACCCCCAGGCCGAGCAGGTTATTCCTGCACAAGCTTCTGGGCAGGCCAGGCAGGCTGAGGTCCAGCCCAGCTCTCCCCCTGCGTGCAGCCCTGCACATGGGGCCCCTGACCTGGACAACGTCCCAGGCCTTCCCGCTCACATGCTTGGAATCTGGGTGTCTGTGCCCAGTCCCAGTGTGGGTGGGCGGGGCACTCACCAATGAAGGACACAGCCTTGGTGTTGATGATGCCGCTGGGCAGCAGGTGGAAGTCGTACTCCTTGCCATCCACCACCACGGTGTGGCCAGCATTGTTGCCCCCCTGGGGATAGAAACCCGGCTGAGTGTCCAGGAGCCCCGGAACTTGGACCCACCCTGGATGGGCCTGCAGGGCGCCCAGCCTCTCCAGGCCAGCTCTAAATGCAGGCACTCAGGAGCCGCCTCTGTGCTGCCTGGGGTGGCGGTTCTGTCCCCCAGGGTGCGTGAGATACCGTCCATGCTTGAACTCGGGAAGTCTGGTTAAGTGGTCGGCTCTGATGTGTGTCTGGGCCGTGCTGGGTTAGTGCCCTGCCCCTTGGATGGGGTACAGGGCCTGGCCAGGGGACTGGCAGGAGAGGGGCTGGCCCAGGCTGGTCCCAACATCCGGGACCATCTCGCAGGCATGTGCTGATGCCCCAAGGAGGCTGGCTCAGCACAGGTTCTGAAGCCGGGACACACTCGGAGCCCCGCCCGCCCATGAGGCCCCCTGATGCAGGAATGAGGGGGCCGCCCTTTTGGGAGGTACAAACTCAGGTGCCCATGGCCTGAGCTGCCATGTGCCACACAGCCCGAACTCTGCGGTGGCCAAGGCGGGCGAGGCAGCACCGCCCCTCTGGGGCCGGGTGAGGGGAACAGGTGCCATCCCAGGCCAGCAGGGCCAGCGCCCCTCACCCCCCTAGGAGGGACCCCTCCCTTTGGGCCCACGCCTCCCACTAAGAACAAAAACGAAAAAACAATTCTGACGCCAGCTGGGATCTGAGGACACCTGGGCAACAGGCTCGCTTCTTTTTGGAACTCCTGCTGACCATGGCTGAGGTGGGCTGGGGGGTGGGGGGAGCTCCCTGGTGGGGGAGCCTGGGAAGGTTCCCGCCACGAGAGGGTGCTGTGGCCCCCCAGGCTGTTGGTCCCTCCCCTCCCCTCCACCTGTTCAATGGTCTGGGGGAGATTTACAAGTCTCCCAGCCCCAGGTGGGGGCAGGTGGGGTGCTGGGGGCAGCGAGGTGCAGATGCCAGGAGACCCCAGGCCAGGGGCTCCCCCTCCTGGACCCCACTTCATGCATCAGTAAATTAAGAGGTGGGGCTGGAGCCCTAGTACATTCTGCAACCTCTCCGGTGCGCCCGTCACCCGGGCTCAGGCCCTACGATGGGCACCAGCTTCCCGAGATGGCCTTGCCAGAAACCAGCTCCACGAGGTCCCTAGACATCCGAGCCGTCTGCTTGGGGAATGGGTGTGCGAGGCCGTCTGGGTCTGCTCCCCACGCCTCTGACACATGGTCATTCAGAGGTCAGCTGGAGGACTTCGCGGCAGGTCTGCCGTCTCTAACAGACTCCTGGGGTCTCCGTGATCCAGGTCTGCATTCCTCGCCCTGCCACACAGCTCGACTGTGTCCGGCAGGCGGTCCTGCCCCCTCCCCGGCGGGGCCCAGCCGGCCCTGGGACTTCCGGGTGGTTGGCTGCGGGAGCTGACGGCAGGCTCTGAGCAAATGATGGGGGAGGCAGGAAGGACAAGGCGGCGTGGGTCTGGGAGCCAAGGAGGGGTGCCCCACAGCACACTAGACAGGAGGGGACCACAGGGGCTTCGGGTGGGAAGGGCGATGAAGGGAGCTGATGCTGATGAGGTGGGGGAGGAGGGGCAGCAGCTGACCCCAGCCCTGACCGTCAGAAGGGCTGGGCGCTTCCTGCAGACCCCAAGTCTGCCCCTGGATGCTGCTTCAGCCCATCTGACGGTCAGGGTGGGACGGCCAGTAATTCAGAAATGCCCACGGTGACTGACAGGCCCCGGGCTTGGGGTCATGGCACCCTCCCACACCCTGTGCTTGCTCTGCCCTCGCCTCAGCACACCTGAGGGGATCCCCCCACTCGAGGTTCTCTGCGCACATTCACACCCACAACCACATTTGCACCCGGGGGGTGTGGCTCCATGACAGATAGGGAAACTGAGGCCCTGGGAGAAGGGGTCTGTAGCAGAACCCAGGCTAGACCTGATGGCAGGCTGACTGCCTCCCTGCAGACGCTCTCTCCTATGTGCCAGACAGCCCCCCCAAGGCCGCATCCTGTCTGCCATGGCCGGCACGGCTGGCCGCCAGATGAGCCCAGACACCCGCCTCCCACCCCCTGCGCTCCGAGTGCCCAGTGCCAGCGTCAGCTGGCCGAGGACACACACACAGACGAGGAGCGCCGCCCAGCACATCCCCCCTTTGTTTGGGGTAAACACGGGCGCCTGGGGACAGGGGCAGGTGTCATGGGCCAGTGGGTGTCAGATGACCCCTCCAGTTGCAGGGACCAGGCGTCAGGCCACAGGCCACTCCCAGGGACAGGAGCCAGCCCTGGAGGCCTAGCCCAGGGCCTGCTGACCTGCAGACACACCTCCCAGCCGCTCTGCAGAGGTCCAGCTTGCCTGTCCCAGAGACCCCATGTCCTCCCCCAGGTACATGCCAGCAGGCAGTGGGGTCGGGGCAGAAGCACCCCAGCTGCCCTCCTTAGACTTGCAGCTCTGCCCGCAGTCTGCTCGGGGCTGAGGCCTGGTTTGGAAAGCCACTTGGAGGGGGGAGCTTGTCCAGGGTCCCCATGGGAGCATGGGGGAGAATGCCTGTCCGCAGCCCAGTCTGGCTGCCCCCGTGGGGCCTCTGCCTCTGGGCTGCTCTCAGCCTCCCTGGCCCACGTGCCTGGTGCCCTGCAAGAGTAAGTGAGGATCGTCCTGAACCCAGGGTGGCTGGGGGATTCCTGGGCTGTCTCACCGTCTGCTCCACACTTGCTCATCCCTTCCATTGCCCTGGAGGACAGGCTGAGTCAGGCTGGGAGCTGGGCACAGAGGCAGGCCATGCATCGGCCCCTCGGAGCTCTGCCTGCCTCCAGGGTCTCCCCTCTGATGGAGCCTGCGCTCAGGCACAGCTCTGAGCCTCCCAGGGATGCGGATGCCACTGTCGCCCCCAGCCCAGCCTGCTCTGCAGCATCTGTAAGGGCCTCTCTCCACCAAAGGCCTCATCACACCCTCCTCGCCTCCATGTGGGACTCCGACAGGGCTCCGTGTTGCTCCCGATGGAGCACATTCTGCAAGCCTCATCCCCATGCATGTCCCCTGCCTCAATCTCCTGCATCTGCCCATTCCTGCCCCTTCCACCACCCCTGGCCCGTGTACCCTGCCATCTGCTTGGGAGGCCTTCCGCTGACCTCCTCTGATCTGCCCGGGCCCCCGTCCCTCACGACCCGCTCAGCCACCACCCACTCTGTTCCTCCTCTGACCCCCACCACACGGTCCCCACTCTGCTCTGAACAGCTCCTTTGGCCTTGGGTTCCCAGGGAGGCACCTAGCCTGGCCTTTCATCCCTGTGACACAACCCTCCCTGCCTCTGCCATCGGCGGCACTGGGGGGCCGAGGAGAGTTATCTCCTTGGCAGAGCCCCAGGCCTCTGAGCCCCAGACCCCTCTCCCTCACGTTCCCTGACTGTCTCTGACAGCGCTGCACCCCACACTCCTGGGCTGTTCCCGTGTCTCCCCCAGAGCACAGAGCCTGCCCGCCTCCCCCGGCCAGCTCACTTGGGAGAGGGACCACCTCCTCTGCCTCTGTGTCCATCTCCAGCCCTGGTCTGTGGGCCGGACAACGTGACTGAGGGAGCAGAGAGGTGAACTGGGGGTGGGGCAGGCTGCTCGGGGGCTGTGGCTGTGGCCGGGTTGGGGGAGGAGGCCTCTTGGCAGCAGCTGCTGCATGTTTATCAGGACCATGCACATCACACAGCAAGGGGCTGCTCTCAGGGTGGGGAAACACTTATGACTCACTCGTCTGAGTGGGACCCCAAAGTTCACCCACCCATGCAGTGCCTCACCTTCTTTTGGTACCTGCTGGCAGGCTCCTATCACTCATTCATTCATTCATCCAACCCAAACAGAGCTGCTCTCTGCCCCGTGAGGCGGTGGGGCACGGCCTGGGAGGCAGGGGTCCTGGGCCCCTGGTGGTCTGCCCTGGCAGATGTCCCTGCAGCCAGGAGCCGCTGTGCAGCCCTGGAGCCGGCCTCCCCTGCAGCCACCGCTGGGTGACCAGAGCCATCAGAGGGCACAGACGTGGAGGGGAGGCTGCTTCTAGAAGCAACACCCGGCATTTCCAGCCCAAGGCAGCCGCCCCGCTTCCCCCAGGAGGCCCCTGGACCGGCCCGGGGTCTGCAGTGGGGCATTTCCTAATACCCCCGTGGAGGGAGGTCCCAGAGCACTGACAAGCTGCAAGATGAGGCCCCCAATGAGTGAGGCCACTGTGTGCATCGCCACAGCTCTCCAGCAGCAGCTTGAGGCTGGCTGGCCCTTCCTGGGGGGCCACCCTGGTGGGAGACAGCCCTGGCTAGACGAGGTGGTGGCATGTGAGCTCACAGTGGAAACCAAGAGAAACCCACCCCGGTACCCTTGTGCTGAGAGTGGTCAGCACCCAGAGCCCAGCACTGCCTGCTCTGCCGTTGGAAGGAGGGGAATTTTCAATCCCAGCCAGCGAGCGCTGAGACCTGGCCGGCCCGGTCGGGGGGCCCAGCACCTCTGACGAAGGTGATTGGGAAGCGGAGGGAGGGTTGGGAGTGAAGGGCTGGTGACCTGGGGCCTGGGGCAGGGCGCTGCAGGGGAGACCAAGGCCACAACGGCCAGTCCAGGCAAGCAGCCCAGAGGCTCCTATCGGGAGGGGGTGGGGGTCAAGCAGCAGGAAGGACACTGGGCAGACACAGAAAGAGGGAGCCCGGTGGACATGTGGGGACTTCTAGGAGGGGTGGGCAGAGCTCCCAGCCGAATGGCTATGCACAGAGCGCACAGAGAGTGGGCAGGGCCTGGCCTGCTGACTCGGGCGGCAGAACAGGGAGGGCCCGGTTCCAGAACCATCTCCACAGCTGGAAGGAGGGCTGGGCAGCCTCAAGATGAGGGCTAAGGGTAAGTGCAAAGTCCCCCGGTCACTTCAGGAGGGGAGACGAGCCAAGATGGGCGTGCAAGGCTGAGCAGAGCCAGCCGTTTACATGGAGGGCCCTGGGCAGCACTGCAGCAGACGGGCCCGAGGAGGGGATGCCTCGTGCTGTGGGGGAGAGGAGTGGCAGCCCCCCGGCCAGGCGCCCAGCTGCAGGGGGACGAGGGCCCTTGCTCATGCAGCAGGGCTCTGGAGGCTACCTCTGGCACCTGGGGGCCCTAGGAGAGGAGTGGGCTTGGGTGCTGTGGCTCAGGGCAGAGAGAGGGTGGGAGACTTCCCGCGATCCCAGGAAGCACCTTCCAGGAATCACTGTCCGCATCAGGCAGGAGTGGTCCAGACAGCTGTTGAGGCTCATGTTCCCGAGCCAAACGCCTTGGGACCATGCCCTTCTTGGGGGCATGCGCCGAGCCCCAGCCGTCCGTCCTGGCTGCAGGTCAGGAAGGAGGTCACAGAATATGGGAGAAGGGGCTCACAGATGCCCCTTCCCCATTTTTCGCAGCATCTCGGGGCATGGCTCCAAACCCCAGCAGCGCCAAAGCGTGCACCCCAAAGCTGACCCCTTTGCCCCCCGAGCTGTAAGTCAGCCCACAGCAGCAAGCGTGGCTCCCTGGCCCTGGCAGGAGGGAGTGCCCTGTGTCGGTCAGAACAGACAGGGCCCCACCCTGGGCCCTCAGGGGACAAAGTCTGTGTCCGGCCTCCTCAGTGCCACTGCCAGCCACCGGGTCACTCTGGCCAGAAGTCTGTGGCTCCTCCCTCTCCCTGTGTCTGGCCAGGACCCTCCTTGTCCCTGCCCTGCCTTCCTTCAGGTCCTGGCCCCTGTCCTGCCCTGGCCTCTGCCTCCTCCTGGCTGACTCCCCAGCTCACCCTCCAGCCCCTCACCAGTGTGCACCGATCCCCATGTGGAGTCAGCCAGCCCTGACCCAGACCCAAACAGAATGAGGAAGGGGGATGTCTGGGTGGTCCTTGCCCCACCCCACCCCAACACGCTGGAGAGCCAGCGTCACACTCATGGCACACTCCACCCCATGAGGATCGGGTGTCCCCAACTCAGCGACTTGTATTTATAGCTCTGCCGCTGGCCCACAGCCCTGGAGGGTGGGGCTGGGTGGGGAAGGCGGTCCCTGGGGGAGGGAGTGGGCGAGGGGTGTCAGGTGCCGGGAGGGAAGGGTGTGCGGGTCTGAGTGGCAGGGGGGTTGTGTGCGTGGGTGGTGCGTGCGTGTGTGAGTGGGTGGGGGTGGCCCCTGGGAAAGGTGTCCCCAGGAAGGAAGGTATCCAAGAGGCATGTCTGGGTCGGGACGCGGGAGAGCAGGAACAGGGTCTGTCTGGGTCGAAGGGGAGGGGGGGACCCGGAGCCCTGGCCCGCACCTGGCAGCGGCTGATGATGTCGGCGTCCGTGGCCAGCAGGTCCACCACCTTGCCTTTGCCCTCGTCCCCCCACTGAGCGCCCAGCACCACGGTCACCCGGGAGCCGGTCGCCGCCGCCTCCTGCTGCAGCCGCCCCCGCTTGACGCCGCCCGCGCCGGGGGGCCGGTCGTTGGAGGCTCGGGTCCCCGACATGCTGGCTCGCTCGTCCGCTGCGCCGGGCCGCCCGAGAGCCCGCCGCGGCCCGCGCGCCCGCGCCATTAAAAGGAGCCGGCGGGGGGCGGGGGGCGGGCCGGGGGCGGGCCCGGCGGGCGCCGTGACGCGCCTCGGTGACCTCCGGGCGCCCGGTCCCCGCCCCGCGCCGCCCCCTGGAAGCCGAGTTGGGCCGCGGGCACTTCTGGGGGGCGCGCGGACAGACGGCGCGCTCCGGGGTGCCTCCAGCGGACCTGGCCGGGTGCGCCCCATGAATGCTAGTGCGGGGCTTTTGCTCTCGATTGCCCCGAAGCAGGGCCTGGGTGCTGCGCACCCACCCTGCCCCGGCCCCGCCAGGTCCAGGACCACGGGGTTCCAGAAACTGCGGGGGGTCCCCTCCGGGGCGGGAGTGCGGTTTGCAAAAGGGGAGCTGCGTCTCTGCGCCCCACCTGGAGGGTCCGCACCCTCGGGGTGCGCACCTGCCCTGCGGTGAAGCCCCGCCACCTGGACGGGCGTGCGCGCCCTCTGGTGGCCGCAGAGAGAAGACAGCGTGTTGTGTCCCCCCTCCCCCGCTCCCCCACACTCGGCACCCGGACCCCCAACCTCCCACATGCGCAGGGGCCTGGTGTCCAGCGCAGGGCACGCTGTGGAGCCTTGCCTGCTGGTACCAGCAGGTGGGCTCCATCCGGGAGCTGGGCTGCCCTCAGTCCCCAGGGCCCTAAGTCCAGGGCGGACGGACTCGTGTTGTCTGGGTCACCTGGCCCAGGCAGGGGAGCAGCCAGGGATGCTCAGCAGCCCAGGACCAGGGGCTCCAAGAAGCCCCACACCAGACCTCCTTCCTGCCCCAGCCCGTGGAGGGACTGGGTGCTGAGAGGGTGCATGATGGTCTGTCTGCCGGGCTCCTGTGTTCCCAGCTGGGTGCACTGCCTGCCCACCACCCACCAAGTGGACTGGGCTTGGGCATGGCTAGCACCATGGCTAGGATAAGGAGCCAGGGATGGTGCCCTGGGGGCAGGAGGGATTGTCACCCAAGGGTCACTCATGGAGAGTTAACAATTCAAGCAGCCACAGAGGACTACTGCACTGGCCCATCTTCCCCCTTGGACTCTCCTCTCCCTCTCCCAGCCACCCTCCTGGCCCCAGCACCCCCCGATGGGAGCCCTGGCTGTGCCCTCGGCAGATCGCTTGGCCCCTCTGTGTCCCAGTCCGTCTTCTCTCACACCGGGACATCAGCATCAGCATTGTTGTGGGATAAACGCCATAATGTGAGTTACCAGCAGTCACGGGACATCTCAAGTTGTCCGTCATTGTCCCTAGGAAGGAGATGCAGGTGTCCTGTGTAAGCTAACATCCTCAGCTGGAAAGCGTGGTGGTGACAGCCAGTGGGGCGGGGGGAGAGGGAGGAGCCCCCCAGCTACCAGCCCCTGGGAAGTGGCTGGAGCAGGGGAAAGCGGGCCGACTCTGGGCTCTGAATGCCATCAAGGCTGAGCAGGCTGAGGATGGGGCGCACCGTGAGCTGGCAGCCAGGAGGGGGTGGTGGCTAGGGGTCCTGGGGGTCTCAGGGAGGGAATGTGGGGCACAGCAGCTGACTGTAGATGAAGAAAAGGCGAGATTGTAGTGGGAGGCACCAAGAGGGTTATGGAGGTTTCTTTCTTTGCTCGATTCCGGGTAAAAGAAATCGAGTCTTTTGAATGCCCCCCAGGAGCCACAGAGAGTTTGCTGCAGTCAGCTCCGATGAGTGGGTGCTTCCCTCTGTCCACCCCTGGGGCAGTGCTGAAGACCCAAAGAGGGGGCGCTGGCTCTGAGCCCTTCCTGGGGGAAACCCGGGGCTCTGGGCCAGCAGGTGTGCGGTGGGGACACAAGGGGACCTGAGGGACGCCATGGAGATTGACAAACTCTGCAAGGCCAAATGCTGGCCGGGGCACCACCTCCCCCAGGCCTGAGCCTATAAATAGCCGGCAGGCCTGGGGGAGCCGGGCTTTTCTATAAACAGCCTGTCCAGGCCCAACAGCTGGGGCCCTGCCAGTCACACGCCCAGCCCGAATTAGAACACCCCTGCCCCCTGCAGTGGCCCTGTGCAGTGGGCCTGTCACCAGGGCCATGGCAATACAAGTCACCAAGTTTGGGGGCCCTCTGTATGACCTCGGGCAAGCACTCAGGGAGGGATGGGCTCAGCCACCTGGGGTTTCCACTCTCTGGGGGTCGCACTTCCCTTTGGGGCCACATCGTGCACAGTGACCCAGGATACAGACACCACACAGGCTGCACATACCCTCACATCATTGAACATGAAAGACTGCATGGCAGGAATGAAAAATGGTGCAGCTGCTTTGGAAAACACTTTGGCAGTTTCTTAAAAAGTTAAACATACACTTAGCATATGACCTGGCCATTTCCCTCCTAGGAATCTGTTCCTGAGAAATGAAAACAGACATCCACACAGACCAGCATGCAGGTGTTCACAGCGGCACTAGTCACAAAGGCCTCCCGCTGGAAATGACCCAAGTGTCTGTCAACAGATGAATGGATGACAAAATGTGGCCTGTCCACACACAGAATGAAAGGGAATGGAGGACCGACACATGCTCCAGCCCGGATGAATCTTGAAAGCATGCTAAATGAAATAAGCCCGTCACAAAGGGTCACATACTGTATGATTCCATTTATATGAAATGTCCACAAAAAGTGAATCCACAGACAGAAAGCAGAGTAGTGGCTGCCAGGGCTGGGAAAGGAGGAATGGGGCGTGAGTGCTACTGGGTACGAGACGGCTGTTGGGATGATGGAAATATTCTAAAACCAGCTCATGGTGATAATTGCACAACTTTGTAAATCTGAAAAAAATCACTGAGTCACTGGGGCCGGCCCCATGGCTGAGTAGTTAACTTCACACATTCCGCTTTGATGGCCCAGGGTTTCACCAGTTCGAATCCTGGCTGTGGACCTAGCACCGCTCATCAGGCCATGCTGAGGCGGCGTCTCACATAGCACAACTAGAAGGACCCACAATTAGAATGTACAACTGTGTACTGAGGGGCTTTGGGGAGAAGAAAAAAATCAGAGTCACATGCTTAGGATGGGTGAGTTTTATGTATCTAAATTACATCCCATAGAGCGGAGCTCACCTCAACACTGTTCTGGGGGCTGTTCATCATCTGCTCTGGCCCTGTTCTGCGTGCTCTGTGTGGCGGGGCCTATCTTCACACCACCATCTTGTCAGGCCCACCCCTCCCTCTCTCCACCCACCCACCAGCTCGCTCATCCAGCCATCCATCCACCTTTCCATCCATCCACCTGTACATTCATCCACCCACCTCTCCCTCCCTCCGCCATCCATCCATCCATCCACCCACATCATCACAGCTGTTGTGAGGGTCAGACCCCTCAAGGCACCGTCCAGCCCCCACGTCCACCCACAGCTTCTGAACACCACACAGCCACGTGCTGGGCCAGCTTTGTTCTTTATTAGTTCAAGTCTCTCCAGCTCCAGGCTTGGGAGCACACACCTGGGGGTGGGTGGGCACCCACATGCTGAGTAGGAGGACCCTGGCCTGCCCATGGCACTGCTGGCCAGTCGGCCTCTACCCAAGGCCCTAGGGTTCTCTGACCCACCCTCCTACCCCCAACCAGCCACCACAGAACAGGAGAAATGCATAAGTAATCATATTTTGGTTAAAAACCACGCTTGGCACCTGCCCAGCTGAGCAGGTTGGGGGGCAGAGCTGGGGCCTGTTCACGGGGCAGTGGGGGTTTCAGCTCTGCCTGGCTCCCATGGCTTCATGGGGAGGGGTCTGCAAGGGGATGTCCCCAGAAGAACCTGGATGCCGGGTCACTGGAGAGTGGGGTGCAAGCTCAGAGGGACCCCCAGGGGATGCAGCTACCCGACCCCTCCCTGCGTGGGCGGGTGCCTCGGTGCATGCGGGGTCGGCTCGGGCATCGGCATTTAGGAAGTAGACCATGAGGGGCCGGGGGCGTGCAGGTGGTCTAGGAGGGTGCCAGGCTGGCCAGGCCCCAGTGCCTGTTGGGGTCCCAGCCACAACACCCCAGGAAGGCTGGGAGGCCCCGCCCCTGGCTGGGTAAGGCACGGAGTTTTGGGTTCCCAGGGGCCCCGTCCCAGCCTGGCCCCAGAGAAGCCCCGCTCAGCAGCATATCCAGCGGCCCATGGTGGCGCGGAGGCTGGCGGCCTGCAGGCTCTCTCACTTGGCTTTGGGCTTGGGCCTGAGGCCTGTGGGGAGGGAGATGAAATGACATGGTCAGGAGCAGCTTTGCTGCGTGCAGTGCCAGGGTGCCCGCATCTGGGTCCCCAGGCTCCTGGTATCCCCTGTCACCAGTGCCCAGTGGGCTGTACCAGGTGCCCCTGAGCCCACTCTGACCCCAGGCCCTTCCTCCGGAACAGCAAAGCTCATCCAGGCAGAAGGTGCTGGGGTGACCCCAGCAAGCTGGCCCTGGTCCACCTGTCCAGGCTAGGTCCGGCAGGGCGTGTTTCACCATCTCTGAGACAGGCGGGGTCTCTGCAGCTCACTCTCCCCCGTCTCAGACCTGGCTGCTCTTTGTCTCCCATCCCCCTGTCACTGCCTCTCCCTGGAGCTCCCTCAATCGCTTCCCACGCCCCCCATGCTGACCCTCCTGCCTTGTCTTCTCTCCAGCTTGGTCCTGAGGGCACCAGGGTCCTGCCCCAATGGCTCCTGCCACCTGCACAGCCCCCGGCTGGCCCTGTAGGCCCATGCCCACCCAACGCCCTCTGTGCTCACCAGTCCACAGGCCCTCGCTCGGCTGGTGCCCCCAAATACCCCGGCCCCCAACCACCCCAGAGCCAGGCACTGACCCAGGCCCTGTGAGTCTTGGGCATGAAAACAAGTGGGGCAGAAAAGGGTGGTCACTAGGACCCTCATGGCAGGGCTTCAGTGCCCCTCCCACCGTAGGGCTGGGGGGAACGGCCGGGGGAGCCGGGACGGTGGGCTGAGCCAGAGAAAAGAAGCCTCAGGAACAGAAGGGGACAAGAGGAGCCAGAGTGGCGGCCCCACTCGTCCCACTGGCCACAGGGACATCACGACGGACAAGGATAATGGGTCACCACACACTCAAGACACAGGTCAAAAAGGGGGAAGAAGGGAAGTTAGTGCAGGGAACAGAACAGAAATCTCCATGTGGCAACTGCCACGGAAACTGGGGTAGCTCCTGGGCATCCCGCAGGCCGCTCACTACCCACTGAGCCGACCAGAACCGTGCAGCTGGGGTCTTCGCAACCACACCTCAACCACGCTATCATCAAGGCCACGACCACAGGGCAAATGGGCCCCTGAAGCCCTCCCACGATGCTCTGGGAGGACGCATCACGGGTGTGGAATTCCTGCCCCAAATGCAGCCTGGACCAAGCCGGGGAGCAGCGGGACACACTCCAGGTGAAGGTGTCTCCCCTGATGTCAGTGTCACACACTGGTGTGGTCCTGGGCAGGGTCTCGTTTGTAAAAACCCAAAGCAATGACTGTGACACAATGTGGTGGGGACAGCTGGGCACGTCTGCCGGGCTGCGTGGGGAACCGTGAAACATGCTGGGTGTCGGGGGGAACGGCCTACTCTCAGGAGACTCCTGGGCACAGATTCAGGGACCAAGTGCCCTGATGTCTGTGGGTCACTTTCAAATCATTCAGTAAAGTCGTGGGGAGGGGGGGGCGGGCAATGTAACAATGTTAACCATTTTGCTCTGTTTTGCAAGTGCCTGCCATTTTGGGGTGAAGGGTAGGTGGCGCTCATCATGATCTCTCTGCAAATGTCCTGCTGGGCTGAAGTTTTTAGAAATAAAAAGTTGAGGAGACTAGGAGGGTGCGATTCGGTCCTCCTGCCCTCAGCTACCAGGATGGTGGGGCCCAGGGAGGGCGGAGCGAGCGAGCCCAGCAGACCCGTTGGCTGCAGATCAGGAGGGACACGCCTGGTGGGGAGTGACCTGGGGGCACAGAACCGCACTGGGCACATTGATCTTTCACGGGACAGTGGCCACAGGTGGCTGCCAGCCCCCCAAACCCAAAGACCACACGGCACATTGTCTCCCACACCTGGGCCAGCAGTTGGGGCCGGGGCCGCAAGGCCAAATCGCAGCCCCTAAGGGACGTGCCAGCATCATTCTAACAGACACAACCAAACGCAGAAAGTAACTCCACGAGGACACCCCGGACCCGAAGGGAAAGCTGAGCCCACAGTGAAGCTAAACCATGAAGAGAGGGCACCTTTGACTTCACTGCCACTCCGGCCCCGTCTGGGCACCGGCCAGAACTCCCCTCTGCACCTTTGGTCCTAGGCCCCAGGCCCAGTCGGTCAGCACAGCGCTGCAGCCCAAGGCAGAGGCCGGGCCCACCCTGGGCCAGGCTGCAGGTGCATGGAGACCCAGACAGCCTGTGCCCACGGGGCTCACCTTTGGGCAGGGTGGGGCGGTGGATCCCTGCCCTGGAGCCCCTTCCACCCAGCACAGGCTGGAGTGCGGCAGGGACCCAGGCCTGTCTGTCTGGTGCATCTGTTGGCCTCTTGGGGCCACATCAAAGACCCTGATAGTCCCTCGCATGGCCCGGTGCCGCTCCCTGGGAGGCGCCTGCATCTGAACAGACCCCCACTGTCTCCAGGACCTGGCCTCCAGGAAGAGGCGGCGTGTGCACCCCACTGCAGGGGATGGTGGCCTGCCTGCTCCTGGTAGTGGCCCTTGGGACCATCCCTGTCCCTCACTGCCTCTCTGGGGACACATGTGGCCAGCACCAGGGCTGGTGAGGGGCTGGAGTGTGCCCTGTGGACAGATGCAGAGTAAAGGTGTATGCCCCGGGGGCTGCCGGGTGTCACAGAAGCCCAGGGTTGGCCTGGATTAGAGCCAGGCAAGCTCAGCCTGTCCTGCCAGACCCCAGAGGCCAGAGCACCCTCATCCTCAGAAGCCCCGGAGCCGCACTCCTGGAGGGCAGCTTGCCCTCCCTGAGCTCTCCAGGCCTGCCTGCCTGGCGGGCAGCTCTGAGGTTGCACCTTGCCACAGCGAGGAGAGCGGAGAGCAAGAGAAGCGAGGCAGGGCCGCCCTTCCGGGGGACAGAGCGAGGAGAGGGCGCCAGGAGAACCCACCACCAGAGGTACGGGGGAGGGCACGCCTGCTGCTGCGCCAGGGCGGGCTGGTGGGAAGCTGGGTTAGTGTCCAGGAGAGGCTGGGTGCAGGCGCACCTCCGCGCCCCGTTAGTGCCGAGCCAGGCCGTGTACGTACCTTACTGGATCGCACACAGCCTTTTTGTTTTATTATCGTCAGAGTCAGGGGCAACCTCTGCTTTCAAATAAAAGAAATGCACTCAACAGCTGATCGCTAGTGAGCAACCCTGAACTCAGAGCCGGCGCCGCGAGGAGGATGCTGAACCAAAAGGCAGCTGCGCCAAAAGCACAGCCATGCGCCACTCCCAACACTGCAGCGGCCACCTGCCAGTCCCTGCTGGAGGCAGCCAGCATGGGCAGGAGTTAGCAGGTTAGGGGCACAGTGATCCAGGTGGTGGCCCCCCAAAGCTGCCCCTCCTGGGTGCCTCCTCTCCTGCGGGACACAGGGATGCCCCGGGAACCACCCACTCTTGGGGGGGGGGGGATTGGCCGACTGCAGGGAGGGGTCCAGGGCTCTGGCATAGGAAGGACAAGCTTTGACCACACCCTGATGTCCCCAAGCCTTACATGGGTTGCCCACTGGGCCCTCTGCTTTGGGGCCGAGGAGGCTGCAGAGCCCAGACTTACCGTCCTGGCCCCTGGTGGGCCGCTTCTTCCTCCTCTTGCCTGGCCCCTTTGAGGCCCGGCCCCGGGCCCTGGGGAGGGTGCCAGACCCTGAGGAGTCAGTCACCACATCCTCTGAGAAGGACTTGTCCAGGGATGTGTCCAGCGCGGAATCTGGGGCTGTGTCCTCCTCGTCCTCGTCCCCATCCCCCCCGGGGACAATCGCGGGGAGGCCAGCACTGTGGCCATGGGCAGCCGCGTCCTCTGGCCCTTCGCCTGTGCTGTCAGCCTCGGCCTGGTCGGTGCCCCGCGAAACTGTGGGGTCCTCAGTGTCTTGGCTTGAACCCATGGCCCCGGGGGGCTTGTCACTGGCGAACTGGAGGGGCTTCAGGGCTTGAGCGTCTCCCAGTCCTACTGGCCAGGCCCCCGCAGAGGGCTCGGAGCCCGGGGGCTCGGAGCCTGCGGGCTCCTCCAGGGTCAGGAAGTCGCTGGCATCGACGTACCAGGAAGAACGCCTCTCCAGGGGCCTGGGGCCGCCCTCCTCCGGTGGGTCTACCGTGGGCTGCGGGCTGGGCACAGTGGCATCCACAAGGTCCCAGCCACGGGGCTCTGTGGCCACCGCAGTGTCAAGACCAGGCTCAGAGGGTGGGCAGCTGGTGCCTGCCCTGGGACCTCCCATGGGGTCACTGGTAGTCACTGTGGATGGAGGACGTGTCAGCGGAGGGCAGGGGCCCGCCTGGAGCTGTCCCCATAGCACCCTGCTCAGCACACACCCCAACGGGTGCCCTCCCGCCGCCTCAGCTTCTACCCGAATGCCACCAGCCCTGGAAAGCCTCCCACCCTCAGGACCCTCCCCAGGTGGCCTCCAAGCATGCGTTCCCACAGGGCAGGCCTGGGCCTCAGCATCCACAGTCTGTCCACAGTGTGGAAGAGCAGGGGACGCTGAGCCCCAAGGCCATCCTGTCCCCAGTGCCCCAAGGCCTGCCTCTCCCACCACCTCAGGCCCCCTCTGAGCCCCAGCGCATCTGTCAGTGGGCCCACTGGCCCAACTCTCCTATCAGCCTGGAGGCTGGATGCAGCTGTAACTCCAGTGAGGAGCCCTCTGTTGCAGCAGACACGCAGGAGCACCGTCTGGCCCCGTCTCAGAGCTGTCCCACATCTCAGGGCAGCAGGGAGACCATCAGGGAGGGCTTCCTGGAGGAAGGGAGGCACTGGACCGAAAGGAAGGCCCAAGGGCGGGGATGGTGGGCAGGAAATGAAGCAAGAGGGTCTCACCAGGCGCCCTGTCCCTCCGGGGCTCAGCAGCGGCCGCCCTGCCGCCCCCCTCTGCGTCCCCTCGGCCTCGGGCTGTCTTCCGCAGCTGGAAGCCTTTCCTGATGTCGGCCAGCAGGGCATCGATGACACACACTTCCTCCTGCTTCCTGCCTCCCTTCCTGACTGAGAAGCCCCAGAGACCCTCAGAGACGGTGCTCATGGGGTTCCTGGAGCCCACCCGGGGGGCCTCGAGAGGAGACGACCCAGAGAGGGTGGGTGATGCTCCAAGACTTTTGAGAAGAGAGGAGAATGGCCAAAGCACGGATGTGGCAGCCCCACCACAGCCGGCCCCTGCCCACCCCGTCCCGGGGCCCAGCCTCACCAGGCTTCCCGTCCTCGTCCCGTGGCCTCCGTGCCTCCTCCTCTGCCAGCTGCTGCTTCCTCCTCTCGGCCTTTGCCGCCTGCTCCTTCCTGTCCTTGTTCTCCTGCAGAGGGCAGACACAGCCCCGTGAGCCTGGGTCCTCGAATGACTGTGCAGGCCTGGCCCTAAGAGGAGATTCCACCTGCCCTGCGAGAGGCCATGGGACCAGCCCCATCCTGCCGGCCCACCTTCAGGGCACGGATGAAGAGGTCGCGGAAGGTCTTCATGGTGCTGAAGGTGTCCTCCAGGGACAGCTGCTGGGCGTCCTCACACAGGTAGCTGGCCAGCTCCAGCTTCTTCTGCTCAATCGCCTGGAACACCTCCTCCAGTGCCCGGGAGGCTGCGATGCTGGCCTGGGAACACAGGGGCAGTCACAGCCCTGTGAGGGCCCACAGCCGCCGGCACAGGCCCTGCAGCAGTGGTGTCTGTGCAGGACCAGGAGTCTGGGCACCTCGGCCCCCAGGAGCAGAGGAGGCCCCTCACCCGCAGGAATCAACTTGGGGCAGGAACGACGAGCCGCTCTCCTGCAGGGGCCCCTCACTCGGGCTCTCTCCTTCCTCACGCTTGCCTGCCCCCGCCTGGCTCACTCCTCCCTTCCGACCCCTGGCAGACCCCTGGACCCTGCAGGGGCCTGCCCCCCTAGAGACCCTGGGCAGTGCTGCCCTTGCCCAGGGCCAGCCTGCCGGGCACTTGCCTGGAGGCGCTGGGCATACTGCTCCTGCACCTCTGGGATGGAAGAGGACACCTTCCGCTCCATCTCCAGAAGCTTCTGCAGGTTGGTGCTGGACTCCGAGTGGATGATCTCAAGGTTGATCCTGAAAGGCGCAGAGGGCTGGGTGGGATCAGGTGACAGCTAGCATCCAGACTGCTAGGACAGTGGGGGCCCTGGACTGCACACTGCAGGTTGCCAGAATCCTATCAGAGCTGTGGGGCAGGCCGAGCGGTGTCAGGGAGAAGGGCCCGCCACGGCCGATGCTGGGTCTGCAGGGTGAAGACTGCGACCCAGCGGCTCAGCCCGTCTGCGCCTGACCCTTGAGGTGCAGCAGCTCTGGGACCAGAGCACCTTCCGTGGCGGTGTGGACCCTGGAGTCAGACCTCCCGGAGCTGCCCTCTCCAGTCTGTGTGAGCCTAGGGATGTGGCCCTGCTTCCCTAGGCCTCAGTTTCCCCATCTGTACCACGGGGTGGCACAGCCTTGCTCAGGGGTCAACCTTGCAGAGAGGCTATGTTAGACCCGCCCCTGGCATGACTGTGGCCAGGTCACTCGCTGCCCCTTCTAGGCTTCCTTTGAATCACACAGGGACAGACCACGGTGGACACGAGGTCCCGTCCCAGAGTGAAAGTCGGAGTTCTTTCAAGCAGTTCCTGGGGGCCCGGGTTGCGCTGCAGCTGTGAGACCCAGCCTGGTTCTGCCACCTGCAGGTGAGGCGGGGTGGGGGGGTGTTGGCGGGGGGCAGGGGCGCCTACCCGGCTGCCTGGGAGGGCTTCTCCAGGTCCTGGGGCAGCTGCAGGAGGTCCGGGTGGCTCTTCTCCACCTCCTGCACAGGCACGTGTCCAGTGAGCGGCTGCGGCCACACCCTGGCCCCGGGCATGCCCGAGCCTGCCCCACCTCGGCAGTTCAGGTCCACGCCCCTCGGATGGCCTCAGTGCTCTGGGCCCCTCAATCCCTCCCTTGGGCCTGGTGTGATTCTGGGACATTTGGCTTTTTGGGGGGACTGGTGGTGGGGGGGAACAGAAGCGGGGGGAGCAAGTGAGCTCTACAGGGGGAAGGCAGGGTGAGGAGGGGGTGGGGCCACGAGGGGTCTGTGGGACGAGAAGGGCATGGACTCCACGGAGGCCCGAGGAGGACTGGAGCAGCGGGGCCCCCCAGGCTGCCCCGGGCCCCTCCGCGCCCACCTCCAGCACGTGGTGCAGCAGCGTCACGCGGCTCTGCTGGGACTTGGTCTCTGTGAGCTTCAGCAGCGTGCTGATCTTGAAGCCGTCGGCATCACCGGTGTGGCTGCCCTGAGAGGGACAGGGGTGAGTGTCCCTGCCTCCCGGAGGGTGGGGGTGGGCTCGGGCACAGCCCACTTACGTAGTTGAGGAAGTTTCCGATTTTCAGGATCAGCTGGCAGAAGATGGGCAGCTGGTGGCCGGTGAGCAGGCCTGCGGAGGGCGCCAGGGCTGAGGGCAGGGCTGGCGGCACGGGGCCTGCAGGGCCTGGCGTGGGGTCTGGGCCCACCTCCAGCGGTCGTCACACCCCTCCCCCAGGATCCCTCCCAGGCTCAGCCTAGAGGTGGGCAGGGCGGCTGGAACCCCCTGCCACAAGCTTGAAGCCCCGGAAGCAGGTGCCCCGGCAGCAGGTCTCCCCAACATCAGCGTTCACCGAACCCTCCCAGCCCTGGGGCAGACGACTGCCGCCCTGTTCTGTGGCTGAGGATGCTGAGAGGAACCTTCCAGAAGCTGTGGCCACCCTGGTTCTCAGCTAACCATCCCTGGGGCTTTGGGGAGGGCGGTCCTCCTGGCTCTGTGGCCAAGGCAGGAGGAGACGTCCACTGTGTGTGCCCCCAGGAGAAATGAGCTGCGCCTCGGCGGTCAGGCCTGTCTGTGTCCCTGCCCCATGGCTGCGGTAAGACCCTGCTGACTCCCTGCTCGGAGAAAAAGATCTGTGTATATGTGTGTCCTATGTGGGCACGTGTGTGTTCAGTTTGTGTGTGTGCATGCATGAATGTGCATGTGTGTGCAGTGTGTCTGTAGGCATGAGTATACCATGTGCGTGCAGTGTGTCTGCATGTGCATGCATGAGTGTGCATGCATGGTGTGTGCCTCAGAGCCAGGGGCGGCAGTCCACAGTGAGGTGGGGAAGGTCAGCACCCAGGGGCATTCTCGGTGGCTGTTCTGATGCTGGGTGAGCAGGGGCCAATGGGCGCCCCTCCTGGCACCCCCCCACCCCAGGGCTTTGCAGCCTCACTCACTCTCGCAGGCGGCGAGCACCAGCTGGGCCTTGGGCTGCACCATGTCCAGCACGACGGCCGTGCCCTCACACAGCAGCATGCACTCGACCCGCAGCTGGTAGCTGGGACAGCACAGCAGGTCAGGGGCTGGGCCCTCCACACACACCAGCCCTGGGCCTGCAGCTCAGGGGCGAGGCCGAGGGTCGACTTAGCACAGAGCTGGGGGGTGGGGGATCCCATGGCCTCTCCCTGTTCAACATGCACATCCCTGGCCGGACCCCAGAAGTGGTTTTGGCAGGACTGGGGTGGGGCCCAGGACGGGGTGTTTCAGACAAGCCCCTAGTGGCCATGGACGTGCAGAGGCTCCCTGGGGGGCACCTTCCCTCTTAGAACAGGTGGGAGTCTGGGCTGGGGTCTCCCAGGAGGGCCTGGGGCAGCCTCAGGAGGCCACAGGGGCCCTGGCCAGCCCCACCCTCACCACCGCTGGCCTGGATGAAGACCCTAGCCCCACACGGTCCCCTCAAGAGGCCCCACGGGTGCAGATGCACCAGTGATTTTGCCACCTTCCTCACAGAGCCGTGGGGGAACTGTCTGCACAGCCCCGCTCGCCCCTCCAGGTCTGGACCAGATCCCACCATCACCCCCTGCCCCCTCCCCACGGGCGGGCCCTGGGGTCCAAGGGCAGCCGAGCTCACCAGGGAATGCCCAACAGGAGGAGGTAAAACTGGTCGGCACTGGCCAGCTTGGTTCGATCCTCGGTGAAGGAGCGCAGGTTCTCGATCTGTGGAGGGGAGGCCCACACGTGGGATTCCAGCTTCTGGCCCCCCCCAAGAAGCCCCACAGGAAGACCCAGATGCCCAGCGGCCTCCACTGCTCACTCCAGCACCTCACATCCGGGCAGAGCCCGTGAGGCCCCAGGGAGGGGCGGGGGGCAGAGTTGGGACCCCGCCACTCCCCTCTCCCTGCTGGTAGCCCTCAGGGCAGCCCGCAACCTCAGTCTCCCATCCCCGCTCACCTCGTGCTTCTCAGGAAGGAGCTTGAGGAGCTGTTTGAGCACCTCCACGTCGAACTTGGTGGTGTCTCCCGCCTGGATCATAGCGGTGACCTCCTCGTTGGAGCTGGAGGGTGAGAGGACGGACGGGTGGGAAGGAGTGGTAGACGGAGGCATGAGCTGACCCCCTTGGCCTCCTCGGGACCCTGCCCACCAGGGAGGGCCCTCGGCCCAGGACACTTCTGCTGGTCAAATCAGGGTCCCCTCCCACACCCATGAGGTTGCCAGAAGCACAGAAAAGGCAAGCCGCCTGCTTAGGGTCACACAGTAATGAGGCTGGGGGTGAATAACACACTCGGCATCTGCCAGAGCACCCTCTGCCTCCCCATTTGAGGGGGCTGCTCAGGACACTGGCAGGATGGCTCGGTGACACCAAGTGAGCTCCCTGGCTGGGGCCAGTGCCCAACACCTGCAGGGAAGGCCTCCGGGGCTGAGAGGCAGAGCCAGGTCCTCACTGTGGCTTGTCCGCCACCTCTCTGTGGCCTTAGGGGGCTCCCAGGTGCTCTTTGGGTCTCAGTTTCCCCAGAGAGTCTGCACTGGCGGTCTCCGGGGCCCCAGGTTGGGGCTGTCTGTGGATGGTACACCCACCACTTGTCTCCGGTCCGAGGGACAGGATGTGCACTTCCCAGGGACGGCCTGCAGAGGGCACTGCCGAGCCCAAGATGGGGGGCCGTTGGTGGGAGGGGCTGGCCCTGAGACAGGGTCGCCTCACCCATCCTAGCTGCTCACCATTTAAACTGCTTCAGGAAGATGTTGAGGTTCAGGCTCTTCTTGGAGTCCAGAAAAGTGATCTGGAAAACACCCCCGTCCATTGGGCTGCTACCTGGAGGGTGGGCACAGAGCCCCTCCATGGTCCAAGCCTCAGCCCCTTCCCCACCTCCTTGGGCTCCTTCCTGGCCGGGGCTGCAGCTGGCTCCTTGGGCTTGGCCACAGGGAAGGAGAAGAGCTGCTCGATGCTGGAGAAGTCTGGCTCCACCACCTCAGCGCCCAGGCTGCTCAGCGAGGCCCACATGGAGTTGCCCTCTGTGGACGAGGCGCCCCTGTGAGGCTCATGCCCACCTAGGGGCCCGAGGAGCAGGTGGGCCTCACAAAGGAAGCCCTCCAGCTGCTGTCATGCCGGGTGCATGCACGGGGATGCATGCACGCACGTGTCCAGGCTGGCTGGCGATCCGGCCTCCAGCCAGCCTTGCCCTTGACCTCAGCATCAGCACCCCCAGCCCCCAGGGGCCTGGGCAGCACAGGGGCTGCGGCATCAGAGAAACACACCAGCCTGCAGGGTTGCGTGCAGGAGGAGAGAGCCCTCAGAGGTGACCTCTGAGCGTCCCTGCCCCAGACCACGCGAGAGCTGAGCTCGGGGGGCTCATGCCTGGGGGCCCTGGGCTCAGATGTGAGTACACACACTTCAGGAACCGCCTGCCACTCTCCTCAACAGGGTCCAACCCTGCCCCCCAGGGGAAGCCACCTGCAGAGAAGCCACCTGCGGGGACCTGGGTGTCCTCACCTCGTGCCACGTTGGATGGCAGCTTCTGCCAGTTCAGCTTCTTCATGCGCAGCGTGGGCGGGTTCACCCGTCGGTGGCTTGGCACCCAGGCGGAGCCCAGGCGGTGGTCCACCTGAGCCACGATGACCTCCTCCATGCCACCCGCCGCAGGGGGCCCAGAGGTGCCGGGCAGGGGTGGGGGTGGAGGGGGGCATCCCGTGCCGGGCAGCGGTGGGGGTGGGGGTGGGCATCCCACGCTTGGCAGTGGAGGGGGTGGGGGAGGTGCGGTCCCACTAGAGTTAGGCAATGGGGGTGGTGGAGGGGGTAGGAGGCACACGGTTGGTCCTGGCAGTGGGGGTGGTGGAGGGGGTGGGGGACACACGGTTGGTCCTGGCAATGGGGGTGGTGGAGGGGGTGGGAGGCACACGGTTGGTCCTGGCAATGGGGGTGGTGGAGGGGGTGGGAGGCACACGGTTGGTCCTGGCAATGGGGGTGGTGAGGGGGTGGGAGGCACACGGTTGGTCCTGGCAATGGGGGTGGTGGAGGGGGTGGGGGGCACACGGCTGGTCCTAGCAGTGGCGGTGGTGGGGGTGGGGGGGGAAGAGGAGGGGGAGGAGGCCCAGTGGTGGCGCCGGGGAGGGGCGGTGCAGGCGGGAGTGGGGTGGGCACCCGCTGCTCTAAGGCTGTCAGCTGTGAAGCCATGATGTGGCCGGTGTCCTGCGTGCTGACAGCGAGCAGGCTGCTGAGGGCCCCTGCCGGCTGCTGGTCCTCCACCCACGCCTTTGGGGCACCCGTGTTCTGGGGAAAGCTGCCCCTCCGACTCTGGCCTAGGTCGGCCTGGATGCCCTTGTGGGCCTTGTCCAGCGAGCTCGGGCGGGGCCGCCCCTTGACGGACAGGAGCCGCTCGACCATCTCCTCCAGGGAGCATTCCTGGGCTGTGGTGGGGGTGTCCAGGGTCAGGACAGAGAGCCAGAGGAGGCAGGCAGGGGAGGGTTGGGGCCAAGGACAGGCATTCTCCCCCCATGGTTCGAGACCCCAGTGTCTGCCCACCAGGCTGAGGTCAAGGAGGGGGATGTGGGCGGGGTGCCCCCTCCCCTGCCCCGTCCTGCCTGCTCACCGTCACTGGCCAGGAGCACAGCCCGGTTCACCAGGCTCTCCAGGGCCTCCCAGAGCAGCTGGCTGGAGCGGAGGGTGGGCTCCAGGTGCAGGAGGCCCTGCAGCACCGACAGCAGATGGGCGGATGCCGGGGAGCAGCTCACCTGGGTGAGGCGGACGAGGAGCGCCAGTCAGCAGCCACCCCCTCCCTGGGGCGGGCTGACAACCACCAGCCTCAGTTTGCCAGGAGCGTCCACTCATCACCATTCTACGCCTCAAAGGGGTCCTAGGAGGTCCTGAGTCAGGGTACCCTGACAGCCGCACTGGTGACATCCAGGGCCGGGTCACTCTTGGTGCTGGGGGCTGCCCTGTGCACTGTGAGATGTTTAGCAACATCCCTGGTCTCCAACCACTTGAAGCCAGTAGCACCCTTGCTCAACACAACGTCTCCAGACATTTCTGGATGCCCCTGGGGACACTCGCCTGGGCTAAGAGCCACTGGGTTCAATGAAGGATGGGAGGTCCACCCATGGAGGGTCTGAACTGGACTGAACTTGGCCTCCTGGACTCTCATTGGTCCCGAAGCCCCTCTCAGTCTACCTGATGGTGGCCACTCCGCTGGGGCCCAGGATGGCACAGCCCCCTCTGGACAGCCAGGCCTTTGGAATCCTGTCCTTCCGGGCCCTGTGGCCCTGGCTCTCTCCCTGGGATAGCCCAGACCAGCCCCAGGCTGCCTGCTCCAGCGCCCTGAGCCCTCACGGCTCCCCGAGTGCAGCTCCAGATCTGGCCCTACTGCCCAGGTCATGGGGTGGTCTGACCAGGGCAGGGAAAGTGGCTGTTTCCGAGCCCTGGACTTGGGCCACAGCCCACACAGCCCCTCCTCCCAGAGACAGTCCCTAGAGGGGCTCCCCTGCCCCCAGCCCACCTTGTGGAACAGGGAGGCAAAGACCTCCTGGTGGCTGTTCATGTCAATGCCGCCACAGACACGCAACAGCTCCTCCTCATCCTCGGCCTTGGCCTCCTCGAAGGCCTCAAGCTGGATCAGCAGGTCGGCATCTTCCAGATCTCTGAGGAGTGGGGGCCCCAGGCGGGCTGAGCCTGCTGCTCCCACCAGGCTCCCCCACCCCGGGCAGATACAGACACCCTGAGCTGGGCCAGTGGCTGCTGCAGCCAGGGGCCGCCATGGTCTGTTGGGGCTGGCCTCTCTGGCTGGGGGTGGCGGGCTCACAGGTCTGAGCCTGGTACCCTGCTGGGCTGCCCCAGGTCACCTGGCAGCTCCACGCCCCTTGGGAAGGAGAAGAGCAAGCTCTCACACGCACAGGGAGAGATGTGGCCCAGAGATGGGGAGGACGTGCTAGAAGTGGCACAGGATGGGGGGAAGGCCCTCCTCTGGGTGCTGCGAGGACGGCACCAAGACCACACCTGAGGGGGTCTGCATGGCTTCCACCAGGAGGGCAGGGCATCTGGTCTGAGCGTCAGCAGCTTGGAGGTTCACTGGGCCCAGGACCTGCCAGTCATCTCAGCCTGGCCAATGAGCCGCGCCCTCAGCGGCAGGGTGGGCCCCTCAGCACCCAGCAGACCTTTGTCCTAGACCACTTCAGCCCCAGTCCCACCAGCCTCGGCTCCTCCTCCTGGGGTGCAACTGCTCAAGCTGACTTCCCTGACACGCAGGGGGTGATTTCCCCACCCTAAGAGTGGTCCTGATGAGGCCGGAGATGGGGCATCTCAGCCACATGGGTTCCCAGGTACCCAAGAAAATCTGAATTTCAGATAATCCATGAGTGACTTTTAGTCTAAGTATACCCCACACAGTATCTGGGATATACTTACACTACAAAAGTGACCCCTTGTCTATCTACAACCTGATTAAGTGGGTGTCCCGTACTGTATCTGGCCATCCCCGTTTCCAGGGGCAGCTGCCAAGACCCTGGGCAGGGAAATTCCACGGAGCAGCCTGTCCAGCACTGCTGGGGACAGCCAGCTGGGTCCTTGCTGGGACCTGGCCCCAGGAGGGGTGACCTGCTGGGGCTACCTCCCTGCCCATCGGGGGGCGCTGCTTGGGACCCAAGGGGAAGGCGGGCCTGGCTCTGGGCAGCAGCCAGTGGGAACTCACCGCAGCCGCGTCAAAACGTCCAGCAGCTGCAGCCCTGGGAATGGACAGACGGGGTCAGCGGGCCTCGGAGGCCGCTCTGGCCAAGACCCCTGGGTCTCCTACATCTTCTGACGCCGACCCCTCTGCCCTCTCCCTGGGCTCACTCTCACCACCTGGAGCACCGGGCCGTGGAGTGGGATGGGAACCTGCCATTCCCAGGGGACACCAGGGACACGAGGCTCCAGAGGAGAGACATCACACTGGACACACAGTGGTGCTCATTAGGCGGTCGCTGCTGGAACCGGGGGTCAGGTCGCCCACCTCCCTCCACTGTTCGGCTAGCCTCACACTGAGAGCCCTCCAGGCCTGAGGTCCAGAGGTCCTGAAGGCCCCGAGTCCACGGAATGGAGAGGTGAAGGCAGGAGGCTTCCCAGGCCCATGGCAGAGCCTTTCTCTGGGGTCTTGGGGGGCTGGGGGCATGGGGCACCCCCCCAGAGAGGGCAGTGTGGGCCAAGCTGGCCGAGGGGCCCCACAGCAGAGGCCAGGGGCGCAGTTACCGATGAACTCGCTCCGCAGCTGGGTGCGGGCGCGGAGGTCCTCGGGGCCCAGGATGATGGCGTTAATCACGCTGAGCAGAGTGACCACATACGGCACGTTGCTGCTGTCGGAGAGCTCACTCATGATGACGCTGAAGCGGTACTGGCGGCTGCACACCATCTGTGGGGAGGCCAGGGGTCAGCGTGCGCCCCAGGCCATGGCCAGGGGCCCCGGCCACCCCGCCACTCACCTTGTAATGGTCCAGGGCGTCCAGGGCCAGGGCGTGGCCCTCGGGCGAGTAGATGCACAGGGCAGCCAGCAGCTCAAACACTTGCTTCTTGACCATCACGTTGGATGTGTCCAGAGCTGCCAAGGGCCAAGGGTGTCTCAGTGGGGCCCAGCGTCCCCAGAATGGGGCTCCCTCTCCTCCCCACCAGCTGCTCCCCGACCTGTGCCTGCCTATGGCCTGAACTCCCACACTTTGGCTGGAAAAGTGGGCCGACGCCAGGGGGCACTGTGCACTGGCCACCACCCACATTAGGTGCCGGCCTCTCCAGGGTGCTGACTGGTCTCCGGACCACAGGGGCAGACCCTGCACGGAGGGCCATGGAGGCAGGGGCAGCCCAGTCACCCAGGTCTGCTTGGGCTGCCTCTTAGTTCTGAGGGGGTCCCCGCTGGCTCTGGGCCCTTGGCCCACCTCGGCACACCTCCCTGGGCTGAGCCCATGTTTTCACCAAACTTGGCACCAACTGTGTTTATGACAGACAGCCACAATGCCTCCTTGTCCCCATGAACCCCGGCCTCCCACCTCATTCCCTGAGCTGGGGAAGTTCTGGGGTGTCCCTTGGCTGGCCCTGCTGAGAGCAAGTCACAAGGGACTCTATGGGGGGCACAGCCAGGCCTGGGCTGGGCTGGAGAGGAATGAGGCTGCCCTCGCCCGCCCCCATGGGCCAGCCCACCCGTCACTGCCCACCCCCAGGGCCCCAAGTATTGGTGGGACTGGTCGCTGCCATGGAGCAGCACAGCCTGGAGGGCAAGGGACACACGGTGACCAAAGGCCACCTAGGGTCTCTCCTGAGGGTTGAAGACTAACTCTGGGTACAGCCTGGGGAGACTTCCTGGAGGGGGTGATTGAAGCGGAACTTAAAGGGTGAGCAGAACTTTGCCGGCACACAAATGTAGAGAGCAGCCAGAGCAGGAGGTGGGGGCCAGGAGCTCGGGAAGGAGAAGTCCCCAGCTGGTGGAGCAGGGGACAGGGCAATGGGGGGCAGGTGGAGGATGCCATCAGCAAGGCGGGTCAGACCAGAGGGCTGGCTCTGGGCTAAGGGGGAGGGGCTTGGAGCCAGGCCAAGTGTGAGTGGGGCCACTCAGGTTGACTTGTGTTTTTGACCCAGGTGACTCTAGCTGCCCAGGTGGGGATGGGGTCTAGAGGCCGTGGTTGGGGCAGGACCAGAACCAGCACAGGGGTGGGTGGAAAGGCAGAGCAAAGTCACAGAACAGAGGGGACAACCAGGTGCAGCTGGTGGCTCCAAGGAGACTCGGAGATCTCAGACCTGGGGCAGACAGTGGTGCCCTCCCTAACTCTGGGAAACTGGTCCCTCCTCCAGGAAGCCCTCCCTGGCCGCCCGGCGGAGCTCTCTCTTCCTGTGCCCCCAGCCTGCCCACGGCCTCCCATGGCCGGGAGCCTCCTACTGAGTTGCTAAGGTGGAGGTGGAGGTGGGGGTGGGGGTGGGCGGGCCAGCCTGCAGCCACGGCTCACCCAGGGAGAGCTGGCGCACGTAGGCCTGGGTGCTGAGGATGTACTGGATACCCTGCTGCGAGTTCATGACGGCGCGCACGCAGCTGACGCAGGTGAGCTGCAGCAGGGCGTCGGCGATGCGGGCCACGCCGCGGCCTGATAGCCGCGCCAGCGCCTCCAGCAGCAGGTCCAGGCCATTCTGCTCCAGGAACTGCACCATCCAGCTGCCGTCGCTGCTCTCCAGGCGCTTGCGCAGGCCGGAGTAGTTGACCACGGAGGGCATCTGGAGCAGCCGGATGCACAGCTCGGGGTCGGCGTTCTCCAGGTTGGCCTCCGTGGGGTCCGAGTCCTGCGGCCCCAGCTTCTCCTTGAGCGCTGCCCACTTGCGCTGAGCTCCCTCCTTCACTGACATCTTGCCAAACTGTGGGGCCGGAGGGAGACGGAGTGTCAGCCCAGAGCCTGACCCCCGGGACGGAGGGGGCCCTCGGGCTGCAAGGCCAGCGCCCAGCTCGGGCCCCAGTTGGTGAGTGGAGGCAGTGTTCTCTGCCTCAGTTTCTCCACCTGCCAAACAGGTGCTTCCTGATGACACCTGGGCCTGCCTGGAAGACACACTGTGCTGGCAAACCCTGTCCCACCAGGGCTGCCGCTGCCCACAGCTTCCCCCTGCCAGGCGCTCCTCGTAACCGCCCTTGACCAAATCACCATAGCAACCGAGGAGGCAGCAGCACCAAGACCTCGAGGCGGCTACACTGGCAGGAACACCACTGACCCAGTGGCAATGATGCAACAAAAACAGCATCTCTGAGGCTCCCTTATCTTGCCCCCAGGGCATTTCCCCTGCCCAGCAGACAGGGTCAGATAGGGACATAGAGTGGGGGCAATTCCAGGCCCCGGGCCCTCCAGGCTGCCCACAGCATCAGGAGCGTGGCTGGGGAAGGCGGCCAACTTGAGGGTCATGCCCGACATCCGCCCAATTCCAGCAAGACCAGGGCTGCATGGGGGAGCAGCCCTGCTGGGCCCCCACTTCCCTGGACCTCAGTTTTGTCAATCTGTGTGTGGGCGGAGGACCGGGTGTCCCCCCCAGACCCTCGGGATATGGAGATCTACCCAGATTCAGCTGCAACAGGAGTGACCCCACCCAGAACGTCCCCCCAACACGTTCCTTTCCCCAAAACAGAACAGCTGGACAGGATGGCTGGGCCTGTATCATGGCCACAGCTCCCTGGGGCCCTCAGCTGTGACAGTGTCCCTAACTACAGCCCCTGGGGACTGGCCTCAAAGGCCTGGGGCAGCCCAGGCTCTCCTGCAACCATGTATGGCTCGGGTCTTTATTTAGCGTCTGAGAAGGCAGCGTGGAGCTGCTGGGAGGCCTGAGAGGCAGGGCATGGTGACACCACTGTGCCTCACCCCCAGGGCCTGTGCCTGGCATTGCCCACCCCTGACCCTCAGCCCCCCACCACCCAACGCAGGCCCTGAATAGCCCCACTCTCCGGGAAAGGAAGCAGAGGTGGCACCAGGGAAGCCAGGTCACGAGCCCACAGCCCCAGAGTTAGAAACGGCAGAGCCGAGCGAGACTGGACCCCAGAGGGTGGCCTTGAGCCCACGAGATGCTGGGTGTCCAGCTCAGCTTCACTCTAAGGGCCAGGCCTGGTCAGTTGGGAGGGGGACCCCAGGGGCCACTCGAGGTCATGCAGGAGACACAGACTGAGTGGGGGCAACAGCCCTGCTGCCTGTCCCTGGCCTGGATTTGGGTCCCCTTGCTGTCCTCACTCCTGGAGCGCCTGTTCCCGCTTTGCCTTGGTCAGGGTCTTGGGCACCCTCCCTCCCCTGGGCCCACCCCCTAGCCTGCTGGGAGCACAGACAACAGCCTTGGTTGCCTCCTCTGCCTGCAGTGAGTCCATGCCAGGAGCCCGGCCCCCACCCAGCCCCCATCCTCCTGCCTAGTCAACTGCCCTGCGGGGCTGGGGGGTCCTCCTGGGAAGAGCCTGGTTGAGGGGAAGAGGCTCCGACCTGCATGAACACCCAGCTCTGGTCTGCCCCAGCAGACTCTGGTCAAGTCACGCACCTGCCTGAGCCTCAGCGTTGCCACCTGGACCTCCAGCATGAGCCTGCCGGGAGCATCCTGAGAGCAGTGGGTGGGGGGTGTGTCGGGGTGCTCATCAGCCCTCCCTTGGGGGCCCCGCAGCCCAGGTCCTGTGCAGCCCTCGTCGGTGGAGAGCCCGGAGCCCTCCGTTCGACCCCATGGTTTCCCCCACCCTCCCAGGCCCAGCCTCTCGGCCCCCCACCGTCCACTCACCCAGATGCGCAAGACCTTCCGGCCGCCTCTGCCCACCCATTCCAGGCCCTGCCTCGGGCTGCCCCTCACAGTCTCCTGGCTCCTCATGGCTGCTGCACACCGAGCTGCCTGCTGCTGCAGCCTCGCCGTGGCTGGCAGGGGGTTGCTCACACCACCCCCAAGAGCAGGCAGCTGGCTCCGCACCCTCTGCCGCCCACCTGGGAGCTGCTGCTTGAAGCGGCGCCCAGAACTGACCCTCACGTCCCGGCCCCGCCTCCACTGGCCCGAGTCCCTGTTTCCTGGCACAGGCTGAGTGGAGAGAGCGTGAACTCTCCCAGGCCGCCGCTAGCATCCCAAGTGTTGTCTCCAGCCAAGAGCCCCGGGGAGCCCTAAACGCAGACCAACCACCCCTTAGAGATGACAACCAGCATCGCCCAGCACAGCCCAGGCCTCCCTGTGCATCTTCCGTCCCCGGGGTCATGGGCTCAATCCCCCGAAAGACCCCACCTGCAGGGTGCCCCTGGGCTATGGGGTGGGACCCCAGCAGGAGGTGACGGGCCATCTGCCCGCCTCCATGCGTCCATGAAGGATCCTGTGCTGGGTGCCCCGGCGCCATGCTCTCTGGAGCTGAGCGGCACAAGCCGGCCGTGCCCACCAGCGCCGTGTGGGGCAGCGGGTGTGTGCAGGGCTCAGCTGGCTGTGGCCCAGTGTGGATGGGGCATCTGGCCAGGATGGCGAGCTCAGCTGGGGACCCAGAGGCTGAGGGGGGGCGGGCAGCTTTTCTCCCTCTGGGAGGCCCACCCGGTCAGGTCCGGGGCCAAGGACGCCTCCTGAGGAATGTTTCAATTTCTTCTTGGGATGAGACTGAACACTCGAATGGACAGTGGCCAGACCGCTCACGAGCACAGAGCCATGACCACCACCTGCAGCCGCCGCCCAGGCAGCCAAGCCATCGCCACGCGAACCAGGGGGCAGCAGCCTGCTCTCTGTGCTCAGACCTGCAGGACGTCAGGCCTCGGTCTCCAGGACAGTCCAGGAGTGAACAGCCACCCGTGCATCGCCCCAAACCTCCGGGCCTGGTCAGTGACTGCCGGCTTCACTGATTTCATTCCCACTACGGATTTAGGATGGACTGGCAAGAGCCCTATGCTCTCCCAGCAATCATGGACACCCCGCTTCCCCATCAGGTGCCCCTGAGCCCCCTTTTCCCTATAAAGAAGCTTTCTATACATAGGAAACATTTTAACATATCAATATATACATCACATAACTTGTATCACGTATACATATAGACACGTCTAGGGATATATGATACATGCACACAGTAAGGACTCACATGTGTACATGTAATAAGACTACAAAGGCGCCCACGCTCCCGCCTGCCCTGAGTCTCTGCCAAACACAAGTGTGCTGGTGACTCCCTGGCTGCAGCAGCCCCAAACACTCAGCCTTTGCTTGTTCCCATCTGGGCAGTGGTTGAGTATTTCTGCAGGAAGCACCGGAGGGGATCGTGTGCTTACTGCTCTCAGGAGCGCAGGGAACGCCCCTTCCTGAGGACACGGACCCGTGTGGGAGGTGGGAGCCTCATTCCTGGGCTTACTGGCTGTGTGCCCCCGGGGGAAGTTACTCTGCCCCTCTGTTCCCCATCTGCAAAGTGATAGCACATGTCTTAGAGGCTGCAGTGGGGCTCCCCGTGGATAAACTGGACCTTGTGGGCAGGGAGCGTGCGCTCAGGAATGCTCATGGCTGTTTTAATCCTGTCCAAGGACGCCTGGCCCTCTGCCCTTGCCCAGCCCCGCCCAGCCCACAGGCTGAGCGTCCGGCTGGCAGCTAGGCCTGGCGCCTAGACCGGGCGGGGACTGCAGAGACCTTCCCAGGCTCGGTGCTCCCATCCCCGGGTGGGGCCTGCACAGGAATCTGCATTTACAGAGCTTTTTTGCAGCCAGCACGACTGGCTGGAGAAAAGCAAGACCATCTGCGGTTCCTAGGGTCCAAGCAACAGCTGGCTCAGGCCAGACCCCATCCCTCGGGCAACTGAAGGGTCAGGGGTGCTTCGGAACCCCCGTATGTCCCCCAGGCAGCCCGACCCTCCCCCTGCATCAATGGAAGACCCTGAGGCTCTGACATTAGTGGGATGTCACCCACGGTTCTTCAGTGTCACTTTTTTCTATCCATAATGTGGGGGTTTCCACTAGATCGGGGTCACGCCTCCCGGGCAGACTGGGACTCCTGAAGGGGGTGTCTCCCTCGGGGCTTTCCCGGGGTCCACCCACCGATCGGGGTGTCCTGCTCATGGGTGCTCACCCAGCCCACACAGGGGCTGCCTCGAGGACCTGGAGGCAACGGGGACATTGGTCCAGGACTCTTGGCACCTCCTCAGACACCCATCTGCCTCCCTGCCTGTGCCTGGCCAGCCTGGCATGGCGATGCCAGCACCTCCACCTGGGCGCCCACACGCCCGGGGCAGCTATGCTGACTTGCGAAATGCCACTGCCCCTGCCTGACAGTCATCTGTCAAGCTGTGTGGGTGGGGGGTGGGGGTGGGCAGGGTCAAGGCTGGCCCCCAGACCTCAGAGACCAGCTACTCAGGCCCTGCTGTCCAGGTGGAGAAACTGGGTCAGAGGGTGAGCCTCTCGAGGTGGACACTGGGCACTGAGTGGTGTCCCGGGTGTGGCTGCCAGGGGCTTTGAGCAGTGTTGGGGGGTGAGGAGCCCAGGCTGGGTGCTAGGGCTTGGTGCCCGTTGGGGAGCTGGCATTGCCTTCTGTTCCTCGACCCTTGCAGGGGCACCCAGGGGTGGGGGCGAAGGTTAGGGAAGGTGTGGGTACCTGTGAGAAGGGCAGCTGCCTGGGGGGGGCCAGGGGGAGACAGCTGCAGGGGGCCCTGCCAGCATCAGCTCAGGGCTGGGGTGCTTCTGGGCCCAGAGCCAGCGAGGGCGCAGGCGGGGTGCAGAGTGAGCTCGCCTTCCACGGGGTGGGCGGGCGAGATGGCAGGAGCGGGATTCCGGAACCCGGAGGCAGGGGCTGCCACACTGTATTTTTAGCTCCTCCAAGAAACCAAATTTTTCCACTGCCTGGCAGCCCTTGCACGGCATTCCTGGCAGATCCTGGAGCTCAGGGGCAGCCCAGGCCCCGCAGAGTGGGGAGGT